AGGATGTGTCACATGAATAATTTTCGAGACATAGTTGTTTGGGAAATTATCATAAAAAGGGAGTATTTTTCATTAGCAATTATGCTTTACATAATGAAAAACTTTTTTGAATATAATACAGGGGCAGATACAGGGGTAGTCAGAGTTGAAGTGGTACATCCTGTATATCATTTCGGAATAGTAATATTAAACATTTGGGTGTTTAGGAAGCTTTCAAACAACTTTTTGTAATGAACCTTCTCGATTGAAATATGCCTAATATGTTTTTTGAAAATCGTGTAAATTTTGGATCCCGCTAAGCTGAATTCATTATATATCAAGGTCTTCAAAAACTCTTCACGACGAAATACGACTTGATTTAAATTTCAATAAAAAAAGATACAGGGGTGTACCATATTGATTTAAAAAAGTACTAATACTTTTAAATAAGTCAGAATTTAACAAAATTCCTTGTTCAGATGTTTCGAAGGAATTTGAAAACATTATTATCATTAAAATGTAACTTGAAATGTGGAAAATTTTATATTTTGGAAAATGTGTGGCTTTTCTATGCCTACATAAATTCTTTATATTTTTATTGTCATTGTGAGAAGTTCTTGACTTACCGGTTCCAATATGAGTGAAGTTTCATGCTTTGATTTATCTGGTTTCAAGCCAAAGACTCCATTCAAATACTCTTTATCACCATAAAGCAAATGAGGGAAAGAAACTAACACAGAAGCACCTTGAAAATTGAAATATTATTAAAAAACAATTTACATAAATCAAACAGTAACTTAAACTATACAGTCTTCATTTACGTCGAGAGTTTTCATTTCCTCGAATTGTGAAAAAGTCTGAAACCAAGCCTAGTTCTGGAAAACGAGTACCCAGGGAACTGTTCACTTGCTCTACTATCTGACCGTTTCACCGTACTACTCGAGGTAGTTGAAGGTACTGATGAACTACTAGATGTTAAAACCTTAGATAGGGAGCTAGCACTGGCGAAATAACTTCTATCGCTAGCACCTGCTTTCAACTCTCTTCCCAGTGGTTTCGGACTAGTGACATACACAGAAGTTGCGACAGGTCCAGTAAAAGTAGTGGGCCGTAACGTGAAAATAGGCCCTGCAGGTGGGGGTGGAGGTCCAGGTCTTGATGGTCTTGCTGGACTAGCGTTTGGTCTAGACGGTCTTGGTGGGAAACCAGGGGGTCTAGTATGCCTTGGTATTCCCGTTCTCTGTCTCATAGTAAAGGGTTGAAATGTTTTGAAGGTTAACTGTCTAGCTTTAGGTGACAGAGAAGCATTATTGGGAGTTGATGAAGAAGAAAGGAAAGGTATGGCAGTATTTTTGATCGAAGGGGTTTTAGTGGCAATAGTGGAAAAGGGACTATAAGTGCTTGATTTGAATACATCAGATTTGGTGGTAAAAGTGTTTTGGTTAGGTAAGACAGACGACTTGGGAAAAGTAGATGGGACAATATTCAGATTGTTGGAAAATTGTTTTTTTGGTACGCTAGATGTATCTAATAACTTGGTGATATTTATAGTAGGGTTCGACTCGAAAGTATAAAGAGATTTAGGCGTAGTTGGGGTGTTACCAGCAAAACTAAAACCAGTAGAGAAAGTTTGCTTGGTTTCAAATAGTATTGCTGGTATTTTAGGTGGGACAGTCGAAGAAGAATAATAACTGAATATTGGAATTGAGTTGCTAACCCCCACATTCAGTTTTGGTGGTGAAGGTGCACGAGTTGTTGAGCTTAATGTTTTTTCAGTCGAATAAGGAAATAATCCGTTTCTTGTAGTTGTTGGCAGTGAAGGAAACTCGTAACCATCATCCTCGATAGCATTACCGACTATGTTATTCAGAACTGTCTTAGGGGGACTTGGCAGACGTGGGAAGTCATAACCGTCATCATCCACACCGAAACACCCCCTGATATAACTGCTCGTATCTCCTTTACAGTACAGGGGGTACACCACCCAAGCGTTGAAACCGTCTCCGGAAATGGCAGTGTGCTCCTGGTATATCAACCGAATACACTTCACATCATCAGCAATGCTTCTGTCCCTAAACGACGCACAGTTTGCGTTACACCCCAGCCCTCTTCCGTAAGGAGAGCACCAGTACTGTTCTGATATCTGGAAAAGCCCATGATCACCGCTCCCCTTATTGTTGGCTGAGGTATTGAAATTGGATTCATGTTCAGCTATGCATACCCATTTGGAAATCTGCTCCTCTGGAAATTTGTGAACATTTTTCAGCTCTTTGGCCAACTCACAGCGACTGTAGACTTTTGGGGAGCCCGGCAAAGGAGGAAAGTCGTATCCGTCGTCATCTTCGTTGACTGGGACTTCTTCTTCTACTGTACTACTAACAGTGTTGTCAATCAAGTTTCCTGGGCATCCACCGATGTATTTGCTGGTGTCTCCTTTGCAATACAACGGGTAAACAGCCCAAGCATTGAAACCATTTCCGGACAAACGGGTATGTTCTTTGTAAATTTTCTTGACGCATCTTACATCGTCAGATATATTGTCATCTCTGAACGAGGAACAGGCAGTGTTACAGGCGAAACCATCCCCCGGAGGCGAACACCAATACAGCTGGGATATCTGGAATAGACCGTGGTCACCACTTCCCGGATTCATCGCAGAAGTGTTGAACTGCGATTCGTGCTGGACGATGCATACCCACGTGGAAATGTGTTCTTCTGGAAAATCGTGAACGTGTCTGAGTTCTTTTGCTAATTCACACCGATCGTATATTCTCGCGAACGCAAATTCAACAACGAATAAAATCACCGTCAGATTGCGAAGCATCGCAATCGAGTTTAAGTAACGGTTACTCGCGACTTTGCTTCTAGACTGTATGGCTGTAAAGTGGTAATGAATTTTATATACTTGTGGATTTTTGACCTGCATCATCGGTTACAGGTTTCAGGTGGAGTTATGCAAATCGGGACCAGTTTTTGAACGAGGCAATGATAAAACGGTACTGATTTGTTAACGCATTTTCGATTCGGTCGTGGTCAGTATGCAAATTTTCAAGTCAATAATATGAAACTTGTGATTAGTTTACTTAATATCATATTCATGACAATAAATTTTCATTCTAACGAGAGAATGGTGATATTTTAATAGTTTTTATTCAACTGGCATTCGTTTACTAATATTGGGAAACGTAAAACTATCACGGAGTGTTTATCGTAAATTGTAATTTGACTAATTATTTTTCAATAAACTGGCTGTAATGGTTGGTAGCTAGTATTTGAGTTTAGTGAAATGTTAATATCAAGAAAAAACCTAGGGGCGAATGGAGTGAATAATTTTCACAGAATTGTTTTCAATTACATCAGAAAACTTCAGAATGTGATTCCTTGTTGATAATCGGGGCCTGTGCATTTCTATAATAAACGCTGGTATGGGTTATTGACTATTTACCAATGATTAAACCATGAATGAAGTACGACAGATGGTGATAATAATCATTATTGAAAACCATGAAGCAAAAACAGGTATAGTCGAAGTAACCTTCATTGTGAATACTTAAAGTTATCGGCATCTCAAAGGCCAAAAAACCAATACAGAGAAATAATGCCGCAGGGAACTAGTCCACATAGACTGAAGAATTGGCGGTTCGCATTGGATAATTTTTACGAACCGAGTTTTATGATTGGCTGAAGATTCATAAAATCAAATTTGAAGTCATGTTACGGTGACGAATAGAATGTGGAGATGAGTATCGCCGTTGTGTCGTCAATGTTCAGTTCAGGAACTGATTGTGATGTGAGTGTTGAAATTCGGTATTGGTGCAGTTGTAATTACTTAAAATTTTTGTTATCTGTTTGAAATGTGGCGTCCTTGGACAAGTGCTACTAGTAATAACGAGTGTGATAACAACGCAGACTTTTTCCTGTGTAGTGATTCCAATAGCGATGGTGAAAAATGCGAAAAAGAGATACCAGTGAATGAGATTCGGATGCATTTGAATATAGAAACACAGAGAGTATGTTTCAATGCATATAAGAATCTACAACTTAAGTTTGCTTCGAGGGAAACAAAGTATTACAAGCAACATCAGATTTGACCGAAATTCCTCTCAACTGTACGTAAAATAATCAAAAACAAACCTTATGAACACAAGACGCGGTGTGATACGGGATTACCAAAACCTTTAGATGTTTATCTAATAAAATCATTGAAAAAACAATATACAACTGTTACAAAAGCAATGAGATTCCTACAACTGAAATCATAAGGAAGAAATTGAATACTTCCGGCCATCATGAGCTGCTCCACTTCAGAGTTGGATAAAGAAACTAGGATTTAGATTTAAAATAATAAACAAACGTCAATCAGTTATGGAAAGCAGAAGAATGGTAGAATTGCGCAACAAATACTTAGAACGAATAACTAAATATAGTCAAAATCGACGTCAAATTTTCTATTTAGAGGAAACTTGGTATGACACGACACAGTTACGAAAGGGTGAACTGATGGTTATAGAATGTGTACGCATAACATGTCTGCAAACAAAGGATCGCGACTAATCATTGTGCATTGCGGAGGAAGTAAAGGATGGGTTCCGAATTCTTTGAAATTAAGTGGAAAAAACTTGAGAACTGTCATGTTGAATATCATAAAAACATGGAAGCTAATATTTTCGAGGAATGGTTTGAAATCACATTGATCCCAAATTTGGATGCGAATAGTGTAATAGTTCTTGACAACGCTTCCTATCATTCGCGACAGCTCATCAAAGTACCTACCGAATAAAAATTCTAAGAAAGATAAAATACAGAGTTTTTCAATAGATAACAATTTATATTTTTAAGATTACTATACCAAAAACCAACTACTTGAAGTTTTACAAACAAAAACATTTGAAAAAGTGTATGCCCTTAAGAGTATTGCTGAAAAGCATGGACACACTGTACTGAGTCTTCCCCCCTATTTTTGTGTTTTCAATTCCATCGAGTTGATTTGGGGAAAATTGAAACAAAATCATTTCCCAAAATATATATATACAGTGTGTCTCACTTCTCATGGAAACACCCCCGTATCTTCCGTAATATTCGAGGTAGTACGATGAAACTCTCTGGACTGATGGAAATGCTCAAAATGCACCTACCACCTGAATGGGGTTGGCCAAAGTGATATACAGTGTCCGCCACTCGCGATGAAACACCCCATTTTTATACACTGTCCGCCACCCGCGATGGAACACCCCATTTTTACGGTAAAACATATTAGGGGGCAAAATAGGCTCAAAATTCCTTCAGATTCGTGATCAGGACTACCAACTTATTACGATTACACTTTTTTTCTGAAAAAATTTCAGTCCTGAAAAATTCAAAATGATTATTGAATAACGAAATAAGTTAGCTTCCTAACTATATTATTAAAGAGGAGCTGTTGGAAGGTAGGTTGCACTATATCGTTTACTTGAACTATACAGGGAATTATAATAATATTGATCCATACAGCATGATGATACATACCAACTATTGTAACAAGCAGAAGCAAGAACAAGCAGGAGTCCAAGCAGTGAGAAAATGTACAAAGACAACCTTCTCAACTAACCCAAACTGAATTTATCCGCCTTGTTTACTCTCAAGTAGCTTTAGAGTTTATTGAATCAATCAGAATGCAGCATATTCTTCGACTTGAGTGACATAAAACAATCAGGATGGTACTAATAGCATCACAGAGATGAAATTAGTCTAGCTTGCTTCGAATAGACCCAGTATTGCGGCTGGTTTCGGCCGAAACTCTGGGTTTGGTAGCATAAGTGATTATTGCAAATGAGATTCTGTATCAATAAATTATCATTCATCACTTCGTGTAGAGTTGTCCATGAATATTAAATGTTTAATTTCCCTTCGAGAATATGTAATGTACTAACGAAAAAGAAAAAAGTAGTTCTTTGTAATTCAGTATTCGTGAGAGAAAGTAGTTATTTCATTTGTATACGAGAGAAAAATCTATGATTGATTTACAAGTTTTCTTAAGTTTTTTCACTGAGCTTCCTTGTTTGGTAACTTTCCGTCCCGATGTTTCGGGATCTTCTGGATTGTTGTGAAATGTTTCCGAATACTCTAGAGGGCTCAACTTCCAGCAGTAGTAGCAATTATCTTTAGTTCCGGCAGCAGTAAAAGCTATCCATTCAATCCGCCGGTACTAAAAATAAAACCGTAACGATGATGATCATATTTGAATTTGAGAAGAGATGAACGTCAACTTCAGACTAATTTACTTCGCTGCTCTTCCTCAGTTTCTACGTGTCGATAATGATTGTGAGAAAACTTTATATCGTTGCTGTTTACCTTCACCTGTCAATATCCAACTGGTACAGTTAGATGATTCAACAAAACATATAATCAATAATATTTACTTGACGCTATAGCTTTGACGTTTCAATAGTTACTTCATGATTTTCAATCTATTGATTACCAGGAAAAAAAAATTCGAATCAAATACGATAGAAAATGGTAAACAAGACATGAATTATCGAAAGTGAATAAAGACGCTTGAAATAAATAATGTCATTTCTAAATAGGTGGAATAATCATCATACTTGATTACAGGAGGTAAATATTCGGGTAAATTCAAATACTGATAAAACATTCGTTATTTGAGTTAGAAGCAGTTTCAAAGTGAATAATTATTTAGAACAAACAAGAATGAAAATCGTATATATTGTTAGAATCTAACAGCTTACCTAAAGTGCTCGAGACGCATATTTTGTGGATTCCATAAATTTTCCAACCTATAACTGGCATAATACACAAGCCTGCTTCTAAAATCGTATACAGGAACACAGTGGTTCACATCTTATATGATACAAACAGAAGCTACAGGATTCCTTAACGTATATAGATGTTGGGACTGGTGATAGGTAAATTATTATTTATATGAACACAGCGTTTATCAACAATAAAATGTATTACCAACAAAACACAACCAAAAACAAAACAAGAAAAAGAAAATTACAGGGTAACCTCGAGGAACTAACAATAAATTTTTTCTCGATCAGCCAAGAGACTCTAGAGCGGGTTTAGTTCTTGGCGGAAACCACAGAATAAAAAATAGTCCTCGGCCGAAACCCCAGAGAATGCCTTGGTTGAAAAATGTGTTCGATGTACCTCTCGAAAAACCATCACTGACAATGGTCGGGGTCATAATAATAGTCAAGAAGGGTCAACCACTTGAGCCCCAATTCCTCGTCTTAATCCATAAGAGCGTTAACGATGAGTGTCTACTCGAATCATCCCCAGTAGTGTCGTTCTAAATATTCATCTCCTTTTCGCCATAAACTTCAGTTTCGAGAGAAGAGAGTAGAAATTAAAATAAAAGAAATAACATATAAACCCAACTGATCGATAATGTACAAAATAAAAATCAATACGAAACTAAACTAAGTAGTTGTAGGAAAAACCCTACAAAGATATAGCTTGTTACAGAAGTTTTATGTATTTTATGAGTCCACTTTAAACTGTTATATCTCAGTGAATTGAGTGCACGGTATTCGATGAAGTCGACGAAGGTCATTTTCGTCTGGTCCGGATTGGTGATGGTTCTACCGGTGAGAAAGTTATTGGAGTGCTTGAAAAGACGGTAGTCGATTGGCGAGAGGTCTCGGGAGTATGGTGAGTGAAAGAGAACTTCTACGCTCATCTTCGAGGCTAAAATCTCTGGCTTATTAGTCAGTGGGCTAGGCTTGCCACTTGCATATGCAGGAAATTTTCTGTGAAGATTCCTGCACTGACGCCTGTCGGATATAATCCAACGACCTTCGTGATTTAGCCAGGGGAGTAGTTGTTTTCTGATAGGCGTCAGTCCATTTAACCTACTGTGTAGGTATATCTGAGACTGGCTTGAACGTTTAAAGTTCATTTCTTTATATTTAAAATCTCTGGAACGAAATTTCGTAAACTCGAACAGTGCGTTCATTAACACTATTATATCCAAATACCTGGTGAATTTTTTAGGCTGTTTCGGCAGCGCTGTGGTTCAATTTGAATATGTAGAGAAAAATAGGCCGAAAATGGCTTAACGACGTTATACAACAATAAGCTGAAAAAATAACAATATCAATGTATAGAGTACAAGACATTAAAACGGACAAAACTTTCGAAACAACCTTATATTAACAACACGAGGACTGTATAATCTCAAATGTAGTACCTAGAAGTGTGTGGCACTTATTTCTATAACTGTTGAAGTGCTAAAAAAATTGTAATAATCATCAGAAAGAATCCGTCATTCAAACTTCGTCGGAAACTAATAAACCTAAGAATGGGATACTAACTAACCTCTACATGTTGTCAAATCGGTTAAACCATCCTTTAAACAAGCGAACTCTCCATCCAGTGATCGCGTTTTGTTAGTACAATAACAGGAATTGTCTTCTTTCTTTGAGCTGAAAGTGTCATTTTTTGCTACAAATTTGTATCCGAGAAGATCTTTGAATGTTTCATCTTCTGAGTATTCCAATCCTATTGTTCTAAAAAACGAATCACAAAATAGTTAATGGTTCCAGAGAGAAAAAATCAAAAATGAAACAAGAAAAAATTGGTTCATGAACCATATAAGAAATGTGTTGACCTAACTGAAGATTCAGTAATAATCCTGAATCCAATTCATTATTTCTTGATGTTTCATGTACTGCTCTGTTCAAAGTAGTCCTCCTCAGATATAATAATAATAATAATTTTTATTTCAGTCAGATCATATTTACATGATGTTGGAACAATATATACATAAAACCAGATGAAATGACAATATAGAGTAAATAGAGTAAAATGTAAGAATTCCATGTTCTTTGAAATTATTACGACATGTTTCTCTATAGTCTAGGCCGAAAATTAATCGTATAATCCTGGATGCTTCCACTGCACCACCCCATTGAATAATATTATAAGAAATGTGGGAATGAACAATAGCCCAGTAAATGCTGATTAACAATATAGCAAAGTAACTACTATTCAATTTCTTGCAAATGTGATTGACATTGTTATTCCATCCCATGTTATTGTCAACAAATACTCCTAAAAAGTTGGTGGATTTCGCGAAAGGGAATTTACTATAATTTACAGAGATTCTACTATTCTCAGATATTTCATTTCTGGTGAAAAAGTGCATACAAACTGTTTTAGCAGAATTTTCCATCAGAGAATTTCTCCCACACCACGTGGTAAATTCCTTTGCCAGTATATTCATTTTTGCAATGAGCTCTTCAGGCGTTTCTGCTTCCGTCGCTATAGTGGTATCATCAGCATAAAGAATTAGGTGTTTGGTGCTGACGTATTTGGGAAGTTCATTTAAATATAGTAGAAAAATTAGCGAGCCACGAATCGATCCTTGAGGTACACCAGCCTCCACATCATGTGGGAGAGATCTCTGATTGTCAATTATTCCAATAATTTTTCTGACCTCAAGATATGAAGCCAGCCAAGAAAGAAATTTGCCACGGAAACCCAGTTCACTTAGTTTGTTAATTGTATTATAAGTATTGATTGAGTCGAAAGCTTTCGATAGACCAAAAAATAAGGCCCATACATACTTTTTCATATCTAATGAACCTGTACTAGCGTTTTTTTCAATGCTCGGGGCAGTTCTGATATGCGCTTTCTGTATGTTCTTGAGCTCCCTCGACAATTCGGTTTTAATCTCCTCAATCGCTGCAAATCGCCATCCTTTCATGGGTCTCTTCAATCTTGGGAATAGGAAAAAGTAGCAGAGGACAAAATCTGGTGAATACGGTGGCTGCATGCCAAAAAATAAGAACAAGCGCAATGACGAGGTGCATTATCGTGATGCAAAATTCATGAATTGTTTTTCCACAATACCGGACGTTTTCTTCGTATTGCTTCCCGCAAGCAGTGCATTACTTCAAGATAATACTACTTATTGAACGTACGAACATGTAACATTGCATGGCATGAGCCAATCGATTTGCCGACATCCTCAGCAAATTTTCTAATAGTGAATCGACGATTCTCCCTATCATAGTTTTCCTCACTTTCTCAACATGTTCATCGGTTGTTGAGGCATCCAGAGCGAGCGTTGTCATTCACATCTCGATCTTCTGTGAAAAACTTGTACCACTTGTGAACATTTTTCTGACTCAATTGAGAGAACAATTCAGTATTTTACATTATTTTTGGCATCCCCTCGTATACTTGCGGTTGGATTCCATAACCTGTCTCTTAGAGTATTTTTTATCACACACCCACTAATGTATTACGCAAATTTCCAATTAATTTTTTTTCAAGATCATACTTGGATACATCATCCTCAAATGAAATTTCTATTACTCATAGTGAGTGATGGTGAATGATATACAATGCCAATAAATCTTTGGCATAGTATTATGTAAATGTAAGTAAGTGTATAATATCGTTTCATTCGAACACCGAAATTCATTAACAAATGAGGGCTATTTTGAAACCGAGAATGGAAAATAAAAAACTTGATTTTTCAATCGCTGACTCTATTTGTTTACTGCGAAAGTTGGTAGGTTAATAAACTTAATGTCCACTTTATTTATTAGTCAAGTGAATTAAGAGTTTCTTTATTTTGATCATGTTTTCTATTGCACTGCGTACATCTTGAAAATTTCAGTAATTTTTCACTAAAAACTTTAGTTTTTTTTGTATATATTTTTTATAGGCATGTCAAATCAAGTGATTGTTCAGTATTAGTTAGCAAAGCTACTTCTAGTTGGGATATTATTTTGAAAAAAGTAACTATGAATTTGAAATTGAACTCTTAGTTTTTCGAAAATGTTTTTAACCTAGACTTTTTTTTGAGATATTTCAAATAATTTTTTATTTTCATGTAACTTGTGAATAAAAACTCATCAGACTCGCAGATATAAACTATTTTCGAATTCATAAAATATTCAAAATATTATATAAAACACTCTTACCTGCAAATATCTTCAGAGTATGCTTCGAAAGTCATGTTTTTATCTATATTAACGGGAAATACTGTTGTGGTGCCATGAATCCTATTGCAAATCGATTTTTCTCCTGTCCAAACAGAAATATAGTCCTGTCCGTCATATAAAGTTAATGTTGCAGTTTCTTCCCTCTTCTTAATACCGGATTTGACTGTAAATCTACCTAAATGGGTGTTGTTTTTCTGTTGGAGTAAAATTACAAGATTTATTCATATCCAGTCTCTTATCTGAACATATTTAGTTGTTTTTCATTCGGAATGAATTATTATTATTATTTTAAACCTAAGTTTACGCTGGTCAAGCCCTATCCCCCGAAGCCCCGACACATTCAAATCACACGTGTAATTAACGTGGTAAGACCTCGTTAGTCCTTAGGTCGCACACGTTTCGACTTCTGAGGGTTGTCGTTCGTAGGGGTGCGACAGCTGGTTGACGGAAAAACAGATTTTAAACAGATTTCAAACAGATTTTTAAACAGATGATGAAAATAAAAAGTAAAACTGAAACTAGAATAAATCCAACACAAGCTCTTATCCCTAATGTCAGAAATGCAACACTCTTCTCAACGCGCGTTTCATCAACCAAGTTGGCGTCTTCACGAGATTTAGAAAACTAGTTAACTTCATGGCTATCACTCGCAGGGGCGGACTAAATTTATATCAACTTATCGGTTTCAACAGTAAATCGAATTTTCCGAAATCATAGTGTTGTACAGTTTTATAGATTCAGAGAAAAAAAGGACGAAACAATATTTCTAGAGCAGTGTTTCGCTAATAGAGAGTAATAAATTACTGTCAATTGGCTATCACATGAGCATAACGAGTTGTCTTTATTAGGCAAAATTTATTTAAAATTTGTAAATTCAGTTCTCGTTATGGAAAAGCTGTTGGTGGTCGACTTTTAGATTTCGGTGATTCTCGGATATATTGTATAATCGCGGCTTTTTGTAACATTTCAGTGTTTAAGTATAGTGTATTTCTGTGTTATTCAGTATTCTGTTCGATTATAATATATTCCATATTCGATAATAAACTTACGTAATGCATATTGGCAAATAAAATTGTATTATTTTCCATTCTCATATTTTTGTTCTCTGCTAGTCTGTCGACAGTTTGTTTGCAAACCATTCCAGCAAGAAAACCTCCTTGTTTTCCCCCATTTTCGCATAGTTTCAATCCGTCGAAAAGATAATCCTTTACTTTAACTTTAATAAACAAACCGTGATTTTCACCAAAAACTGATGGAAGAACTCCTTCCACCATAGGAAGTGCTTCTGGCTGAATATCTTCAATTTTTTGAATCATTCCCTGAAATGAAAAGCGTTGTAAAGGCTGAAAAGTTAAATAAAATGAAAAAATCATTGTAACAGTAAATTGATGGATGTAGCCGTTACTACGTGGTAGGAAATAACGAAACTGCAGTAACATTAGTTACAAATAAAATTGGTAAAATACATAGAAAGTTTCAATTCTCTTTTCTTCACATTATAACAATGCTTGGGACGTATATTGGGAGATACAGGAAGTCCAGGACTCCTTAATAATAATAATGTGCAATGGTCCATCTCAAAAGAGGACAATGCGGGAACTACGGAGAGGATGTGCAGCTCGTAGATGGAAGCATCTTATACCATCTGGATGCCGGAGAGACGTATACTTACCTCAGGGTGGAACAACGCCACTCACAAGAGGTAACAGCAGTGAAAAACTCTCTCCGCGGCAAGTATCAGCACAAACTTCGACAGATCTGGTCATCGGAACTGTCAGGGAAGAACAAAGTTGCTGCAAAAAATATGCTTGCCGTTCCAATCTTACTCTACTCGTTTGGAGTAGTGAAGTGGACTCGGGAGGAGCTGTATCAACTCGACGTAAAGACCCGAAAAATTATGCATCTCAATAGGAGTTTGCATCCCATATCGTCCGTTCCAGGAATTGGAGCATTTCTCTTTAGGGCATCTGCCCGAGCAGCTGATGAACTCGGTATAGTTTTCGATACTTAACCTCTAATAACAGATATTTCTTATTCAATTATTAGAAGTAGCATATATCATAATTATTGTCAACAAATTTGTTCAACTCTATTTTGAATTTGAGTTTGTAAAGTTTGGGTCCCAGATAGGTTATAAATTGTTGATTATGCGTATCATTTCCCTGTTTAGTATATTCCTAAGCTGATAAAATTTATATATTAAGTTACGAAGTCTAGCTACTGTATAATCAATGTGTGCATTCCACTGAAGAGATTGGTCCACTAATAATAGGTATTTTATTGTATTCGTTTTCTGTATAGAAGTACAGCTACAATTGGGAAAATTTGCACAAGATGTTTTGTGGATTTTTATTATGTTTGTAGCTGGTTGATCTCTAGTTGTTGGAGCAAATGCAATAAATTTGTTTTTTTTAACATTAACATTCAATAAACTGAACTCAACCAGTTGAAAATCGTTTTGATGCCTATTTCAGACTAAGTGTATACTTCTTCCCACGTTTTTCCAACAAAAGTAATAGTTGTGTCATTAGCAAATGAAGTTATTTCACCATCAAAATCAGAAATTTTGAAGATGTTGTTCATATATATTAGAAATAAGATGGGTTCTTATACAGTTCCTTGGGGTACGCCTCGAGTAATTTTTAGTGGGTCGCTCAGAGAATCGTTTACCTTGACAATCTGTGTTCTATTTGTCAAATAGTCTTGGTTAACAATCTCAAAAACTGCGTTTCCTGTTGATCTGTTTTCTAGAAAACCATATTGTGATTCAGAAAAAATGTTGTTATTATTGCAAAATAGTATAACTCTATTTTTGAGACATTTTTCGAATATTTTAGAGAAGTTATTAATCATAGTTATGGGTCGAAAGTTTGTTACTAATTTTTAATCACCATCATCGGTATTGTGATTGAGTCTTTGAAAGATTTATGTGTTTTTCCTACAGTAAATATTAACTTCAAAATGTGACATATAGGTTCTAAAAAGTACTTATGGAACCTTTTGATAAGAAACACAGATATCTTATCGGGACCAGGAGAAGTTTTTTTTTTAATCCGGAAATGATATCGATCAACTCGTTTCTTGAGACTGGGTGTAGGAATATTAAATTGGTAATATCATTGCGGCTTTCTAAAACGGGGTATATAGGCCATGTTTGTATCATCGTTTGTCGAGCTGCTGATTTCAAGTCTTAGTGGAATTGGATTTGCTCCTCTGGCGAGTCGGAGGAACAAGCTTGTTCCGCTGCTTGGTCTGCACGTTTGTTGCCCGTAATTTCTACATGAGAGGGGATCCACATGATATTCACATGGACACCTCTGGTACGATGGTGGTAGCAGGTGTGTGAGTAGTTATTTTTGATAGAGTATATTGATGAAAGGGAGTTTGTGCATGAGGTAAGTTTACTGTTATCTTGTACTGGAGACCTCAACGCTTATAGTATTCCATATAGTTCAGCTGTGTGTATACTACAAAAATTGGGAAGTTTGTATGTTCCTATTATTGTATCGGGTGTAGTAACAGCAGATCCGGTACCTACCATTAACTTTGAATGCGTCAGTATAAAGGATTTTGTCGAATTGCTGGTTATTTATCAGTTCTCTGAATCTTTGTATGAAGACTAAGTTAGGCGTATCATGCTTATTGTAATTGCTTAGGCATCTGTTCAATAGTGGCGGTTTTTGGCCCATGCTGCCATGAAGCTTTGAAGTTAGTGTTTCTTGAAATAGGGGATAATAATTGTGGAGGTAAAAGCAATATTTTTTGTAAGAAGATAGAGAAGTAGAAAGCCAAAACCTTTTTAGCCCAAATACTACATTTTTTAGAATCCTACATATGGCATTATTATCGGCAAAGCTAATTATGTGTCCTGGATATCCGTGGCGACTAGTACATTCAAATATATCATAAATGTAAAGGAACATATTGAAAAACAGACAATACTCCTCCCCGTTATACATAATTTCAAAAAATCTTACGTAATAGGCTGTATTGAAAATGGTAACTTTCAAATCATCCGTGTAAACTCCAGAAGCTTCTTCATCAAATTCATACCTCATGTATGAGTAATATGATATGTCGTCAGGAGTATCCCATTTGATATCGGATTTCCATTTGTATACTCTAAAAAAATGTTTATTTAAATGTATAATCAAGATAGCCTTCGGAGTTGATTGATGAATAAAATTCATCAAACACCGGTTTGTCATTTATTCCATGAATATCGTTTTTGATACCGTAACTATATATTTTATTTCAACAGTAGTTAATGATGTTTGAGTTTTTGAGTTATTCATGATGTGGTTTTTGAAACCTTATGACAAAAAAATAAATGACGGATATGAAAGCGGGCTCTGAAAATGTTTACCACACTTTTATATTTTGAACGTCCTCGAAAAAAAAATGTAAATTTTGTTGTTCAGGAAGCAAAATTATTTATTATAGACCACTAATAAGATTTTATTGAAAATATCATAAACATAACCTAAGAATGAATTGAGTAAGGTTTTCTTCGGATGCTATGTGGTTTATCGGGATTGTTGACCTTCCTCTGACCAATGTTCTGCCTTCTGTCTTCACAATGATGTAATTTCAAAGCAAGAAATCATCACAAGGTGATCAGTCGAACTACTCATAATAGTAATTTGAAACAACAATGAATATCTTTTTTTCATTTGGAAGGATCCTTCATGAAATTCCAAGGCCATTTTATATAAGTCCTTTATTTTGAATGAATAGTTCTATCCAACGCAATTCGTGGTATTAGCCAAGGGAGTAGTTGTTTTCTGATAGTTGTCAGTCCAATAACCTACTGTGCAGGTAAGTAGAGACTGCCTTGATGATTTGACGATTTGACTCCAATATCTCCACTCACTCCTGAATTTTCAACATGCCCCGACATTTCTTCACCTCGGAGTAGTAAAGGTCTTAGTCCTATTTCTTAACCAGACTCTAAATTGATCTCATTTTCAGATTCACTGAGAACCAACACTTGCTCTCGACTAAAAAGGCACACAGATCAGAAAGTAAAAGCACTGACTTTCGACCAAAGAAGGTCACATGTCAATCTTGCTGAAGTGCCCATCAGTAAGCTGAGCACCGCTCCGAAAAAGCAGGGATGGATGGATGAGATGGGATGTTCCACACACATACAACCGTGTGGAGAAGATTTCAACTCAGGGCACTCAACCCGGGAGGGGGCATGGGGTTTCAATATCAACTGACTCCTGATTCAAATATCTCCTCTCCTGAATTTTCAATATTCCCCGACATTTCTTCACCTCCACTGCTTAATGACCTGTACGCATATTGGTCTGGAAGCAGTGGTACTTTAGCCAGTAAAATGTTTCCAATATACCTATCGAGTAATTTTTCTAATGCTTTCAATGCAAATAATATGAGACTGGACTCAAAAGCTATGTTTCCGTGTTTCGAAATGAAGCTAGTCCTATAATAATCAGTCTCACCGGCAGAACCTTCGCCAATCAGAACCAGACAAATATGGTCTTCGTCAGCTTCATCAAATCACGAGCAGACAATTTTTATGTTAACGAAATTAATCGACTTGTGTTACGTTGGCAAATGTTGCTTATTTCTATTACATTGAATAAGTATACACTGAAAGTGACTCATCAAAATCAACAAAACTTTTGAAACAACCTAATAGGTTCACAGAAACAAACTTATTTTGAAGATTATACATATTTATTGAACTAGGTAAGTTCCTGTTCTTCTACTGGGTGAATTCCATTCGATCCTGGTGACTTATATTATCAACTAATCCTGTCTAGACGCCTTTTCAGCAGCCTTCGGTTCGAAAAATTGAAGCACTCTAACATGCTCTTCAAACTCATATCAATAACTCAAAAATAACGAAATAAAACATAAAGAATTGAAAAGGTGTTTTTTCATTTCTAAGATGAGAGCTGGAGAGAAAAAGCTTGTTTTTTCTTCCCAGCACAAAGGACGGAAAAACATAAATTTCAAAAAGATAGATATAAAACCAGAATACTATTTTACAATATATTCCTTACATAATATTTTGCTTCAAATATTTGTATTGCACATCATATAATGCTAATATGATTTGTAAATAATAGAGTTGAAACTATCACTAACAAACATTATTGTTTGAAGATGATTGACAATGTTCCATGATGAATTTCATTATTATATAAAATGATTTGAAATCCTTGAAAGAACTAATAAAAAAAGAAGAATTGAAAAGCAAAATACCTGAAATGAAATAATAGTGAAATAATGTTCCATGATGAATTTCATTATTATATAAAATGATTTGAAATCCTTGAAAGAACTAATAAAAAAAGAAGAAATATTAAGCAAAATACCTGAAATGAAATAATAGTAAAATTTTGTTTCTCATTTTATATAAAAATGAAAAGTTAAGAGATTCCAAGCCAAGTTACTTCACGACGTTTCGATTGTTAGTATCCACAATCGTCTTCGGGTGATGACTGGACTGATTCCTCAGAGAGATGACTATTTATGGATCATTCGAGTACTTTCACTTATCTCCACTTTTCTTTTTCAGCTTCACCGGTTTAGTGGAAGATGACCGTTTGGCGTGAGTTGGCCATTTCTCTCTTGATTATGGGTTTCCATATGTTGCGTATCTCTACGCTAGCTTGGCTGAATACATTGTTGGACAACATGTATGCGGCTTCTTTGAATTTCCTCCTAAACCAATGTTCTTCTCTGTATATGATCTCAGCTTGGGACCACTCAATGTTATGTTGATGGGTTCAAACATGGTCTGCTATTCCTGATTTGCTGGTTTCCCCTCGCTGTGTGTGTCTCTTGTGCTCGGCAATGCGAACATTCAATGGCCATATAGTATTTTCCGCATTCACAGGGTATCCAGTAAATGCAATTCTTGGTATCGCAGTCCGCGTTTGGTGGCTTGGTTTTCGTGACACCGGTTGTGACGGCTTCTCTTCCTTGCGAGGCTCCTGGTAGCCATTCCGTTGAAGATCATTTGTGATGATGTCTAGTTTCTTCTCGAGACCTTCCTTCGTATTACAGGATTTCAAATTATTTTATATTGATAGTTGTCGTTCGTATGGGGGCGACAGTTGATTAACGGAAAAACAGATTTTAAACAGAAATATCAGACAATGGAAGTCCGAACTGAGAAAACTAACAAATAAGGCAGAAGAAATTCTTGTAGGTAGTTTAAATTTAATAGAGTGCAACATTTGAAACTCACTTATAGACGAACGGTCCAGTTTCTCTCACAATAGGTTTGGCGCCTTGCAAAATTTCATCAGGATTTTGAACATCAAACATGTAAACTTTGAAGGTGAATGGAAACGGTGTTTTCATAAACATGTCCCATTGATCGGTGTTTTCTTTGAGAACTTTCATCTGAAAAATGTATGTTAAATCAACCACCGTTGCATTTTTGTGAATATTCAAAATAGAACATTTTCACTAACATTTCTGTGAATCCCTAAGGACTGCAAGGAATTTTCTTTTCATGAAATAACAATTGCTGACCACAGAAAATATAAGGAAAGATTTAAAAAATCGTTTGAATTATCACAGGGCAAGTCGTAGTGGTCATTATTTGGTAATTTTGTTACTTTTTGCTGTTCATTGTCATTTTTTCTGAATGAAAGAAGAGAAAGCAAATTTTGAACGTATATCAAATTTCTCAATAACGAATGAGTGAATTTTGAAAAAATTTAAAGAGCTAATAGAAGGATAGGAGACTTCGCAATTGATTTATAACTCGACCCTTATATCATTGAAACACAAATTGGCGTGTTGTTTGAATTCTGAGTTACAGGGGGGTAAAGTTTATGTTGAGACGTTTTATATATAAAAAGCGCAAAGAATATCCTAAATCATTTATTACTATTATTATTGGTTCAGTTGAAGCCATAAATTGCCTAAATTGCATATACCTACTAGTCGATTATCTATAAATACCTCCAGAAAAAGTAATTTCCTTTAATTTTTCGTAAATCATTGGAAGAAAAGATTTAATTCGTGAACGGTGCAAAATCAAAAACGAAAAAGTATACCTCCCAAATTTTACTGGTAATANAGATGTTGTCAATTTGTAAATTGCTGATGGAACATTTGAAGCAAAGTACGTTCGTTTTAGAGATATTGAAACTGAGAAGATTTGCGTCACACCATCTTTTTATATTGCTAATATCATGATTTATTACTGTTTCAAGTTCAGAGGGATTTTGATCATGCCATAAAATTCTAGTGTCGTCAGCAAATAGTGTGAACTATCCTTTAATATCAATAGATGTCAGATCATTTATATACAAAAGAAATAATAGTGGACCTAGGAGTGAGCCTTGTGGAACTCCACAGTTTATTTTTCCTTCCTCAGAGAATAGTTAGTCGTTTTAACAATTTGACTACGCTCAGAAAAATAAGATTCAAACCAATTGAGACTTACACCTCTTATACCATATTGTTGTAATTTCCGAAGCAGTATACCATGACTAACACAGTCAAATGCTTTCGATATGTCACAGAACACAGCAGCTGCAGTCTCTCCATCATTTAATTTGTTATATAGACTGTACAATAATGAAAAAATACCATCATGAGGGTTTTTCTACTCTGGAATACAAACTGACATTTGTTTAATATATGTTTTCTCTCGAGAAAATCAACTAGTCTTTTCGTGACTAGATAGGCCGAAAGTTAGAAGAGATGCCAATATCTCCACCTTTATGGTGAGGAATAACCAATACTTTGTATCGATGAATATCCTACAGCTTGAATTGTCGATTATAGATAATTGTCAATTAACAGATTTGAAGGATAGTGAATATTGAAGAATAGTGAATAAATATGAGAGAGTAAGTGCGAAAAATTAAGAACAAACTTAGGAACAAAACAAAGATTAGAAAATTGTTTCTACTCTTAACCCTATTGAAAATCACTTTACCACGTCCATGAAAAGATTTATTAGAGATAAGTATATGCGATCCATAGATATGTCCACTATCGCCAGAGTATCAAAATAATTTAGTGAATGATGAATAATTTAATTTGTTTCATATGAGGAGTAGATTAATTCCATTCCAAGCTCACTGATACTCATATATATTTCATCCAAACAATAGCTTTTGTAATGGAATATATCGATTTTGTTGAAAATATATGCAAACCATTGTTTGAAATCGGGAGGAGATAAACTTCTGGTTAAATTGTTCTGCCTCAAAAAGTTTACAAGGAGATTTTGATGATACATATGTTTGATTTTGAATCTAAAATTGGAACTGAAATTCCCTCTATTATTGTTCATCACTGGTAGACTGTAATGAAATATGAGCCATCTCAATTTGACTTCTCACATTTATTGTGAGAACTGTATGACCAATGATGATGTCAACTTGGCGTCAGTGCACGTTGTAAAGGGCATCACAGGTCTGGTATGTTATAAATTCATGTTCATTGGGAGAAAAGGCGATGGCACCTCTCCCATCAATATCAATGATAAACAAGGTACCCCAAGGCTCTTCAAAGCGGCCAGTTGCAAAGTTAAGCTTCGACGAGGATAGTCGTCTGTCTTCACTACAGTTTCGATTGCAACGCAACACCTTGAAACAACACCACAGTCTAAAAACAAAGCATTTATAATCCACCATACAGCCTTGTTTCGTCACGCCATGAGGGTGCTAGGCAGAAGATTCGTTCCTTCTTCCTTTCACAACAGCAACCAGAGCCCAAAAATAAAGCACTGGTCATACTACAGAAGACAGCGCTGTTTCAACCTGCTATAGGTTTCATCAGAGGTGCTAGGCTAAACAACTAACGTGTTGCTGTGCTCAACTGCCCTTTAATGGCGGCAGAAGACTCAATCCATTCACATTGAAGAAAGAAAAGGTTCCCAACTGCAAGGCAACAGAGCCTAAAACAAAGCATTCGTGATTCAACACCAGACATCACTATTTCGACTCGCCATTGAAGCTCTGGTGTTTGAAGCGATTCACTTTTGTTTTAATAAAACGCCTCTACGCGAGAAATGAGATTGGTCCATCTTTGTACACATGTTGATAGATGGAACAAGAATCGTTTCCATATGTAAACGTTGGTGTGTGTGCTTAGCGCCTTTGTGAATGGAATGCTGAAGTACGTTGGATCTCTTTATTTTATGAAGAATCAAGAGTGCCGTAGATCAGCAGTTTTCGTCAAAATAGTGTGCATGGGGAGGAGCCCAAGTGATCACACCATGGTTTTCTATTCATCTTGGCCACATCAATGGTGCTAGGATCAACCAAAAGTGCACTGCTATGCATTGCAATGTTGGGGGCAACTGTCCTTGAATGTCGAGCCTGAGTAAGTGAAAGCAGTGACATCTTCTTTCATAAAGACGTCATCTATTGGATCGACAGAAGACTCAGTTCACGAACATCAAAGATAAACCAGGTTTCCCTAAGTGGACCGTTACAAAGACAAGATTTGATATCGACTGCCGAACGAGATTCAACTATATAGTTACCTTGCAGTAAAAGACACAGAAGTATTCTTAATCGGCGGTCGATTTCAAAGCTTGCCTATACAACGGGCTGCCTTAGGAAAAATTGTTTAACAATGATATTCATGAGAAATGGAGTCAATGGAGTCACAGAAAAAGGAAATTTAAAAAATTATAAAACAACCCCAATTTGCAGGGAACATAGATGCGAAATGCCTACTATACACAAAGAAAGTAAATCGAAAGCAGAAGTAAATTGAACGGAAGAGAAAATTCAATCGACAACTTCAAAGAAGTGTGCTTGTTAAACAGAGCGAAAATGGAGAGAGTGAATAGATCAAATGGTGTAATGGATGTTATTTCATAAAACCAGAAAATTTGGAGATGAAAATAAGGAGACCGAGAAAATATAATAAGAAAAGAGTGTAGGCAGTAAAACAGACATTGATATAGAAGAAATAATTGTAAAGCCGAAGAGTTCAGAAAAAGGGAGTATGAGACATTATAATTTGTTAAAAATGACACGTGAAAGCTACCACTCCTGGATAATATCACGACGGATACTGGAGTCCACGATGAATGTCTCGAAATAATTCTAAATATTTATTTTCTCAGTGTCAGTACTCACTCATTCAATTATATTCTATGTTTGGGTTTGGGAAAATATGTGAATAATACTATATCGATTGTCTTTTCACTTCATTTTTCATTTTTTTTTTTAATTTAATTTTCTATATATTTCAGTTTTGAAATACGTTCCATCTTTCAGTCGAGGCCACAATAATTCGTTTTTCTCTCAAATTGGGATGTGAACCGTTAAGCCAGAAAAATTGTTTCCATTATTCATTTCTCCAACCTCAGCTTCCATATCTTGTTACTTTCAGCCAATGAACATTCGAACCCAACAAAAAATCAATTACATTCAAATAAATTTCCTCATGAATCCGCTTCCGGATACGGTATACTAGTCACGTCCACAAATCTACATAACTGCCATGCCATATCAACTTGTCAACAGTATTTTGGCAAATAGGGTTAAATTATCTATTATATCGAACGTAGACATTTAATTAACAGTAGGATTTCATTTGCATAAATAAATAAATAGGGAACAACGAATATGTAAAAGATTGTAACATTTTTCTGTAATGAATAAAGTGATATCAAAGTATCAAACTGCTTTGACTAAAAGCAGAAGTTCTTCCAATTTATTTTCGAAGTATGAATTGTCTACTGAATCACCCCCTAGAGATGCCAGAGTTGTTATTTGTGGAGGTGGAGTTATGGGGGCCTCGGTTGCATACCATCTAGCAAAAATCGGATGGGGTAGTGAAACGGTGCTTATCGAACAGAACAGGTATTTCTGATGAATAACAGCTATGTTCTTTCCAGATATTGTCCAAGCTTAAGTACACAATTATTAACACATAGTTTTTGCTACTTGGAAGCCATCTAACTTGTCCATTTCACCCAAGGGTCTGGAAAACTCTGTAGGCATTGCATTTTTTCTCCCATCTGTACATGACACCTATTTCCTGTACAGGTCCCTTGATAGATGTGTATCATATCACTACTGGATATTTTTTGGGAAGTACATAAATTGCTTGCTTCCTGATTTACGTGAAGCGTGATGCAGTGCTCTGTTCCTTTGTTGCATTGTATGTGTATGTAGCTAAGGTCTTCATTATACAGACCTGGTTTTTTTTTCGGGGGTCCCCTCAATGGACGGTGTTTAGTGAATATCCCTGTAATTATTCTCAGCAGATCCCTGGAGTGTTGTAGCATTTCTTCAGTTTTTTTTCACAGGGTTCCTTTATAAAAATTTTCCTATGTACGTTCTCTGGTGTATTTTCTCAGTACTCTTTGTATCTCATTGACCAATTTGGTGCCCCATAGCTCGTTTAGGATCGATATATGGAGCTGATTATCTTTTTTATTTCCTGTGATTCTTGAGTATCCTGGTATGTCACCCTTGGGTTCATCAAAACTCAAGTGTCTGTCTATAAGAAAATTATTTAGTTTACGGCATAGGAGCCTAAATTAAATTTTTCTTGTAAAGTGCAAGAATGCATACATTTTTACTTCATGTGTAAGTATTGACCAAGCGAAGAATAACTAAATTTTCAGAATAGGAGGTGCAACAACATGGAATTCGTCAGGTCTTGTAGGAGTATTCAAACCCAGTTTATCACAAGTAAAACTCACGAAATCAAGTGTGAATCTGTACAAAGAACTAGAAAAGAAAGGATTACCAACTGGGTGGAAACAATGCGGAAGCTTAAACCTAGCAAAAACAAGAGATCGAATGACAGTTTTTCGAAGAATGCTAGCCCAGGCTGTGTGAGTAAAAAATGATTTCATATATTTTCATAATTATGATGATCTGAACACCAAAAATAATATAAAACCATTGGTACACTCTAATTGAATGCATTTTTTACCAGTTTTTTCCTTTACTAATACAATTTCTTTTACATTCACCCACAGTGGATGTTTGATAAGTAAAATGATTCTTCAGAGAATAATCCATTTTTTGAATTATCACATTAAAATTGTACTATCAAAGTCCACTATTTCATAGAAAAAACTTATTTATAGTAGCATTCCTTATTGTTCTCCAGTGTGAGTAATGATTTTCATCAAGCACCTTCATCCACTTGGTATTTGAAAACTAATTATATTTTTTGAATTATTCTTTCATATATATGTTTTGTGTATTGGTATGGTTATCCTCAGTAGATAAATGATTATCGCTCTCTTTCAAGGCAAATAGACACTTCTTTTACCAAGTTAGCAGTTAGGAACAGTCTCAAAAGTTGATCATATTTGTTTATTAATTCTTCTTCATAACTAACATAAACCCAAACAGAAGGAAAACGAAATGCAACAGAAATTCATCAGAGTTTTTGACATATTTATGTGATTTTTTTTTGTGTTAAACAAGATGTTTTATAGATATATTTCAATTATTTATTATGTTTCATTTCATTAGATCATGGCAAATTGAGTGTGATATTTTAACGCCAGAGCAATGTAAAGAAAAATGTCCATTACTGAATGTTTCCGATATTTTGGGAGGCCTTTGGATTCCTGGTGATGGAGTGGGTCACCCTTATGACATATGCTTATCATTGGTTTCTGAAGCCAAGGAAATGGGTAAGAATACTCATCAAATTATTTTGTTATCTTTCAATTATTTTAAATTCAAAGAATCTGGGCATTGTTTAACATATGCATTTCGAAGTTAATTTTGTATTGGAAGTAATAATTTCTTTATTTCCGTTATTCTTCATTGTAGGTGTTAAAGTAATTGAGGATTGCACACTTAAAAAAATTAAACAACAAAATAACAAAGTTACTGGTGTTGAGACTGACTTAGGAAATATCAATTGTGAATATTTCGTGAATTGTGCTGGATTTTGGGCAAGAAATGTTGGTCAGTTATCTGAACCATACGTTAAAGTTCCTCTACATGCTGTTGAACATTATTATTTACATACCAAACCCATTCCCGGCTTGGACCCTATGCTTCCAGGTGAGGTGTTTCTGTATAAGTTATATTAAGTTTTCCTTGTTCACTTTTCAAACTCCTAAACAATTTTTTCAAAGGTAATATTATAGGTGTACATGCATGAATTAAAGAAATAACTAAAATCCCTAAAATTCTTTTGATTCAACAATGTTACCAGAATGGTTGAACGCGTGGCACTATTAACTGGCCACCTAGGTCTCCTGACCTTAACCCTTTTGACTTTTTCTATGGGGCTAAATGAAGAGTGAAATTTATATGAAAAATGTATGTTAAATCAACCACCGTTGCATTTTTGTGAATATTCAAAATAGAACATTTTCACTAACATTTCTGTGAATCCCTAAGGACTGCAAGGAATTTTCTTTTCATGAAATAACAATTGCTGACCACAGAAAATATAAGGAAAGATTTAAAAAATCGTTTGAATTATCACAGGGCAAGTCGTAGTGGTCATTATTTGGTAATTTTGTTACTTGTTGCTGTTCATTGTCATTTTTTCTGAATGAAAGAAGAGAAAGCAAATTTTGAACGTATATCAAATTTCTCAATAACGAATGAGTGAATTTTGAAAAAATTTAAAGAGCTAATAGAAGGATAGGAGACTTCGCAATTGATTTATAACTCGACCCTTATATCATTGAAACACAAATTGGCGTGTTGTTTGAAATTCTGAGTTACAGGGGGGTAAAGTTTATGTTGAGACGTTTTGTATATAAAAAGCGCAAAGAATATCCTAAATCATTTATTACTATTATTATTGGTTCCGTCCATTATAACATATTTTGTACTGTTGTCACAGCTATTCAAAATTTTGTTCGAAAAACTCCCTTAAATCATAAAACTGTCTTGTCAATGAAAATGTTTTTACAGCCCTTCTGAATTTCACAGTGTTTTCAAACATGTTGATAAAATAATTGTTTCAGTTGTTAGAACTTTCAAAACTACCTAAAAGTGAAGTTTTATTTAAATAGTTTATTTTTTCAAAATCTACCTATTTTACTAAAATTAATCGTTTATCTAATTAGGTTTTGTAATTAGCTACTGTTGTATAAAAGATATGGTAGAATAGTTTTATGTACCAGTTCAGCTGATGAAGCTACAGACAGTATAGCAAAACTCGTCTTAAAAAAAATTTATTGTAACAATACTATAATTGTCATCATGGATAGTTTTTAAACTGAGTGTATTTCATGAATATTACATTATCTAAAAAATATACTCTATGTTTCGTTTTCAAATAATTTAATGGTTAAATAAGACATAAATATTAGCAATGTTTTATTGGTGTCAGACCGAAATCGATAAAAGCACCAAGTACACACAGTATCAACAATTTTGTTTAGCAGTTCCACAAATGGTTTTGTATTTTCCGTTCCTCTATTCCAAAGATTCTATTGACTGAGAGATGGAATAACAATTAGCAACTGAAAAAGAAATTAAACAACATAGAAACTACTGAATAATAACACTATTTATTTATATTCTTATAATAGTAACAAAAATACAAAATGAAATATAGTAATGACGGCAACAAAAACGTATTGTGTATGAACCTTTCTGATTATAAAATTAATAACATGTAATTTTTCAGGAAGAAATCTGAGAATGTCTCCTGTTTATCCAAAGTTACGGGAAGCTGGTGCTGTTTTTGGACAAGTGATGGGTTATGAAAGGCCAACCTGGTTTGATAAGAGTGATGTAGAAGGTAGACAAATTGCAAAGAACGAAGTGAGATTGAACAGCAAACAGAGATCGACAAATATCAGGAAATATAACTTATATGTGGTGTTTAGAGTCCACTCTCGAGAGATTCTTTCACAAATATAGGATGGAAAAAAGTATTGGGCAGGAATACGCGACGGGATACGCATGGCTCCCTGCGATCTCAAACATTTTTATTAAATTTGCACAAGGTATAAACTTCAGCGCTCGGAATTTCTAAGAAAAGGTCCAGAATGCTTTTCTCATTTCTTGAAAAAAAAGCAATGGAAATATGTTTGATATTACTTTTTCTGATACTCCGTTCGAGACATATGAGTTGTCCAAGCTACAATATGACATTCATAGAATAGTTTTCTAGTGATACGCTAAATATAATAATAATAACAATAATAATAATAGTCTTTATTATTTCCAAAAAGAAAAAAAAAGTACGTATTTCTCATAATTTCAACCTAGAAATAAAATATTGGAAATAAAAGG